TTAAAAACAAAAACAAGGGGCGCCTGGGTGGCTCAGTGGGTTAAGCCTCTGCCTTCAGCTCGAGTCATCATCTCAGGGACCTGGAATTGAGCCCTGTGTCGGGCTCTCTGCTCAGTGGGGAGCCTGCTTCCCCCTCTCTCTGCCTACTTGGGATCTCTCTGTCGAATAAATGAATAAAAATCTTAAGAACAAAAACAAAACTTTTTTTTCAAGATTTTATTTATTTGCGGCACCTGGGTGGCTCAGTCATTGGGCATCTGGCTTTGGCTTGGTCATGGTCCCACCAGGCATTGGGCTCCCTGCTGGGTGGGAAGCCTGCTTCTCCCTCTTTCACTCCCCCTGCTTGTATTCCCTCTCTCGCTATGTCTCTCTCTGTCAATAGATAGATAGATAGATAGATAGATAGATAGATTTTATTTATTTATTTGACAGGGGGAGAGAAAGAGTAAGGGAGAGCACAAGCAGAAGGAGCAACAGGCAGAGGGAGAAGGAGAAGCAGACTCCCCACTGACCAGGGAGCCAGACACAGGACTTTATCCCAGGATTCTGGAATCGTGAGGACAGATGAGCCGAAAACAGATGCTTAACCAACTGAGCCATCCAGGTGCCCCTTTAGACTTTTATTTAAAAGCCTTTATTTGGGCGCCTGGGTAACTCAGTGGTTAAAGCCTCTGCCTTCGGCTCAGGTCATGACCCCGGGGTCCTGGGAGCCCTCACATCGGGCTCTCTGCTCAGCAGGGAGCCTGCCTCCTCCTCCTCTCTCTCTCTGCCTGCCTCTCTGCCTACTTGTGATCTGTCAAATAAATAAAAATCTTTAAATAAATAAATAAATTTTAAAAAGCCTTTATTTATTTATCAGAGAGAGCATGAGCACGGGAAGGGGCAGAGGGATGAGCAAACTCCCTGCTGCCTGGGAAGCCCCCTACTTGGGGCTCAGTGCCAGGACCCTGAGATCTTGACCTGAGCTGAAGTCAGACACTTAACTGAGCCATCCAGGTGTCCTGCAATAGTTTAGATTGTTTTTGTTTTGATTTGTTTTTTAAAGTAAATATGCAGTTAGTCCTCAGGGATCCACCTTTCCTTGACCCCATCCTTCCTGCATTTTGCAGATATGACCACTATCCTGAATCTTACGTCTATTCTGATGTACGTTTGTAAAAATAATTTTACTACAGGTGTATGGATCTACCTATACAAACTCTTCTGGCATATGAATAAATTTCTCTTACTATACTCCAAAATGTCCCATGTAAATGTTTATATTTTGAACTAGGATCTAAGGAGGGTTCATTCATTGCTTTTGGCTGTTTTGTCCTCTTACTGCTTTATTCTAGAATAATGCCCCTGCCCCCTTCCTTTTTCAGTGACATTGTTAGGAATTGTTTTTAACAATCGTTTTGTATTTAGCTTAAACAACACATTTACTGATTTTTTTTCTTTTTTTGGCCAAGATTACAGCTTTTATTTTCCTTTTCAGAAGTATATCTCATCGGGCACCTGGGTGGCTCAGACAGTTAAGAATCTGCCTTCACCTCAGGTCCTGATCCCAGGGGAGGCCGCTTTTCTCTCTCCTGCTGCTCCCGCTGCTTGTGTTTTCTCCCTCTCTCTCTCTCAAATAAATAAATTAAATCTTTTTCAAAAAATCTAAAATATGGGGCGCCTGGGTGGCTCAGTGGTTTAAGCCTCTGCCTTCAGCTCAGGTCATGATCTCAGAGTCCTGGGACTGAGCCCCACATCAGGCTCTCTGCTCAGCGGGGAGCCTGCTTCCCTCTCTCCCTCTGCCTGTTGCTCTACTTGTGATCTCTCACTCTCTGTCAAATAAATTAATAAAGTCTTTTAAAGAAAAATCTAAAATATTGCAAAACTTTGACAAAAAGTGTTTGGTGAAGAGGTTACTTATATTATTCCCTGCACCTTTAATATGCTGAAATATAATTCTTTTAAAAAACAATTTATGGGGTGCCTGGATGGCTCAGATGTTAAGCGTCTACCTTCAGGTCAGGTCACAATCCCAGGGTCCTTGGATCAAGCCCCACATTGGGCTCCCTTCTGAGCAGGGAGCCTGCTTTTCCCTCTCCCACTCCCCCTGATTATATTCCCTCTCTCACTGTGCCTCTTTCTGTCAAATAAATAAATAAAATCTTTAAAAAAAAAATTTTTAAAGAGAATTTCAAGTAAGATGTAATATTAAAGTATAGGAGGAAAAAGTTGTTTACTACAAAAAAGTTGTAGTAAACAAAAAATGTTGTAGTTGTTGGGAGGCCTGGGTGGTTCAGTGGTTTAAAGCCTCTGCCTTCAGCTCAGGTCATGATCCTGGGGTCCTGGGATTGAGCCCCGCATCGGGCTCTATGCTCAGTGGGGAGCCTGCTTCCTCCTCTCTCTCTGCCTGCCTCTCTGCCTACTTGGGATCTCTGTCTGTCAAATAAATAAATAAAATCTTTAAAAAAAAAAAAAGTTGTAGTTGTATACTACAAAAAAGCATAAAATAATATTAAGATCCCCCAGCTCACAACAAAGCTCTACCAATTTGGGGGGGGGGGAAGGAATCCTAAGAGTACAAATTCTACAATATCTCGAGGACAGCATTACCTCAAATGACCTATCAAACACTTCTAAAATATGAATTTCCACTGCACTTCCTAAACAGACACAAATATGTCCTCACTTTCAAGGCAGACAAGAAATCTCCAAATTGACATGAGGACTAATTTCATGGTTTCACAGGACTTAAACTAAGTCTTGTACAAGAGTAATGGTCTTTCCAAGTTGAAGTGAAAACAAAATGCCAAATATGCCAAGAATTCTAAGAGTCATCCCATTATCCTAAGTAATGCTCTATCTGAAGCTTTGTCATTCATCAAACTGTGCAGTCTTTCCTATGTCCACTCTTTTTGCTAGTGCCTATCCCAAGCCTTGCTCTCTAATCTATGACCTTTCCTAACAAGTGTCCTCTTCTTGTGTACTTGACTCCCAAACCAATCATCCACCCCAGCTATGTTCACCCTTTTCTTCCTAAGTCCTATGGACTTAGGTTCATGCCATGACCTTTGGCCTGCATGAACTCAAATATGGCCTACATCTATCACATTCTCCATTCTGGCTACATCATTCACAGGTATTTTAACGTATTTATCGCTTCTCTTATTCACCTAACATTTACTGAACTCCGTAACAATTTCTTGTACACAAATACTAGGCAACCAGGGAAAACGGAATATAAAATGGGTTATCAGGTATTATAGAGAAATCCATTTTAGGTGTGATAGTGGTGTAATAGTGTGATAGGTATGACAGTGGTATAACAGCTGAGAAAACTGAGATATTATAAAATTACTATAATTTTTTAGATGTGACATTACCATGGTAGTTATACAGCAAAAGTCTTTATTTTTATGGGAATACATGCTGAAACACTTAGAGTGAAGTGTTAAAATATATAGAACTCCAACTTGGTTTAGCAAAAACACATACATACACATATAAAGCAATGTAGCAGATGATGATAGTTAAAACAGGTGGTATTCAAGTAATTATTGTACTATTCTTTCATGTTAGACAGCTGTGGGCTTCTACACAAAATCTTGTAAGCAAATGTTTATAGCAGTATTACTCATAATAGTGAAATAGTGGAAACAACCCAAATGTCCATCAATGGATGACGGATAAGCAAAATATGGTTTAGTCATACAACAGAATATATTCATAAAAAGTAATGAAGTACTGGGGCGCAAGTACTGGGTGGCTCAGTGGGTTAAAGCCTCTGCCTTCGGCTCAGGTCATGATCCCAGAGTCCTGGGATCAAGCCTTGAATCCGGCTCCCTGCTCAGCGGGGAGCTGCTTCCTCCTCCTCTCTCTGCCTACTTGTGATCTCTGTCAAATAAATAAAATCTTAAAAAAAAAAAAAAGTAACGAAGTACTGATACATGCTACAACTTGAATGAACCTTGAATATACTGTGCAAAGTAAAAAATTCTGCAAGTGAAAGAAACCAGATAAAAAAGCCTCACAGTATATGACTTGCATAGACAAATCCATAGAAAGAGGAAGTATATTCGTGGTTGCCCAGGGACTGGGAAAGGGGAAAGTGGGGAGTGACTGCTTAATGGGTACAGGAGTTCCCCTTTTTTTTTTTTTTTTTAAAGATTTACTTATTTTTAAGAGCAAGAGCATGGGGGAGAGTAGCAGAGGGGAAAAGAGAGGGACAAACAGACTCTGCACTGAGCACCAAGGCAGGGCTCAAACTCAGGATCCCAAGATCATGACCTGAGCCAAAAACAAGAGTCAGATGTTTAATCAACTGAGCTGCCCTAGGATAGCCTCCCCTAGGATTTCCTTTTAAGGTAATAAAAATATTCTGGAGCTAAAAAGTGCTGATGGTTGCACAATTTTGTAAACTTACTAAATGCCACTGAGTTGCACACTTCAGTGACTAAAATGCTATGTGCATTTCACAATGAAAAATAACTGGGGGGAAGAAACAAGATAAAAATGTAAAGGAACTGCTATCACAGTGAGGAATACTGATGGGGAGGAGGTTTAAGAAAGAGAAAAACAGGGGCACCTGGGTGGCTCAGTGGGTTAAAGCCGCTGCCTTTGGCTCGGGTCATGACTCCAGAGTTCTGGGATCGAGCCCCATATTGGTCTCTTTGCTCATCAGGGAGCCTGCTTCCTTCTGTCTCTCTGCCTACTTATGATCTCTGTCTGTCAAATAAATAAATAAAATCTTAAAAAAAAAAAAAAGAAAGAAAGAAAGAAAGAGAAAAACAGGGACGCCTGAGTGGCTCAGTTGGTTAAGCAGCTGCCTTCAGCTCAGGTCATGATCCCAGCATCCTGGGATCAAGTCCCACACCGGGCTCCTTGCTCGGCAGGGAACCTGCTTCTCCCTCTGCCTCTGCCTGCCTCTCAGCCTACTTGTGATCTCTCTCTCTCTCTAACAAATAAATAAATAAAATCTTAAAAAAAAAAAAAAAAGAAAAGAAAGAGAAAAACAAATAACCAACCTGGAAGTGAAGCAGGATACTGCAAAAGAATACTCCTTGCATATACTTCTTCTGAGGCAGGATCAAATGAAAGAGGAGACATTGGTGGTAAAAGATCCACAGCCTTAAAACACAGAATTCATCATTTTGAAACATACATTTACTCAGTACCATAATAACACTAAGTTAATCTAAGAACAGATGATTTTTCCCCCTACGAAGATAGAATTATCAAGCATATAAATTATCCTATAACTATTTTTAAACGAATGAGTACAATATTAGAACAAGGGGACTACTCCACCTCCAACTGTGCCTCAAATGTAATACTACCTAATAGCAAAAGAAATGTCTCATTTTCTTTTTAATATAATCCTCTGAATCTAAAAATAGTAACTATAATTCCAAAGCAGACAGTGAATACCCAAATACATACTTAGAAAAATAACAGAAACCAAAACATTTGAACTTTAGGCTCAGGTGCAAAGATGACAACTTACACATGCATAGCATTCCTAGACCATTTGTAACATAAATCACAAGACTGCCTTATATTAAACTACTTTCCAAAAGGCAAGTCAACATTACTTACTGGAGTCAAACCTTCAATTAGACTGAAAGGAGACAGACCAAGAAATTCTTTCCACTTTTTATGCCATTCTCCTTGTTTTTCAACAACAGAATGTTTTATATTGGTGACATCTTCCTTTATTTTACACCTACAATAGCATAAAAACAGAACTTCATTCAAATCATGAATATATAAAAGTACTGAGTAAAATTTAAGAATACAACAGTTTGCAGAGAAAGGTAAGAAAATATAATCGGAAGTTCAACCAGTATAGTACATAAAAACTGAATAAACTCACAATGAACATTCAGAACCTAAAGTACTTTTTTCCTTTTAAGACCAGAAAGCAATCATACATCTATTATTCCATTTATCTTTAAAATATTCTTTTTCCCTAATTCTGAATTCAAGTCCAAATTCTACACCTATACTCTGTCCACTCCTAAAGGTAGTCCTACCTCCCAATTACTCTACTCAAATAACAAATTTTTCTGAGGCTTAGTTTTACGTAGACTCCAAAGAAAAGCTTGAGAAAGTTAAAATTATTTCGTAAAGAATTATCACTAAGGGCAAATAATTTATTCTAGACAAAAAGAAAACTACATTAATTGTCCTTTCTACTTAATGTGTCTCTCCAGGACTTTTTGAGTTCTAATAAAATGTTCACATTTGTTTGCCAATGCTAAAGAATTATCAACTACATGAGTTCTGCTGAAAAATTATCAAACCACCCACTCCTCCCCCAATAATGCAACAAAAGATCTTTCTATAGTACCTCATATACTTCAGATCTGATAATCTCTCTCTCTGAAGTTTGGCCTCCTTTTCCAGGAAGTGAAGGTCTATTGTCATTCTTGCTGGGTCAGCCTGACAACGTTCATATTTCACTACTTTCAAGACTTCATTTAATAACTGAATAACTGTTAACAGGTTCAATTTTCCAGCCTCATAAACATTTCCAATGTGCAACTTAGGATTCAGAGGGGGGGAAAAAGTGGTTCTTTAGATAATAAACTGTTAAATAAATATATTTATGTTTTTTACTATTATATTAAAAAGTTACCTTAAAGAAGAGTGAAACAAGTCAAATGTCTACCCAAAAATGAAGCCAAGTAAATAATTTTGGTCCAACAAAAACTACTGTGAAAGGATTTAACATGCTGTGCCATATTTTTATATAATGCAAAAAAGTTGCAAGCTAGAACAACAAAAGAAATGCAAATAAATGGAAAGCAAAATAAAGACTGAGGAGAAAGAGCAGGTTTGGTTAAAGATCATGAATTCATTATTTTAACAAAAGGTGCAAAGTGATGACCCATAATAACTGATTCCAAAATCAGACATGTTTATTTGGCCTGCACAATTCCAGTATTTTAAAAATCATTTGAATTAGCTGCCAATCAACTAAAAATCTTAGATTTCACATAAAAATTATTATTTCTCTAAATACCTCATCACTTCCTACTTTACCCCTTTTGTTACACACAATTAGCATACATTACCTATCTAGCCTCTGTAGGAACCTGAATTTGCAGACTCTGATTTTTACATACCAGAAATTTGCAGGGCTGGCATGTTATCTATTACAGTGAAAGCTTTACAGTATCACAACACTATTTTACCTTTGTATTTCCCTATACTATAATTAATGCCTGGCATATAGCAGATACTTAATAGATTATGAGTTCACTAAGAAAAAAAAAGATACAGGCTATACAGATGGAAATGTCATATAAGCAAGTGGAAATAATTTGATGCAGTTCAGGTAGACAGAGAGACTAGAAATACTAATTTGGGAATACCACTGTATAGGATACTGATGAAAACAGAATTAAGAAAACACAGATGGGGGCGCCTGGGTGGCTCAGGGGGTTAAAGCCTCTGCCTTCGGCTCAGGTCATGATCTCAGGGTCCTGGGATCGAGCCCCACATCAGGCTCTCTGTTCCACAGAGAGTCTGCTTCCTCCTCTCTCTCTCTGCCTGCCTCTCTGCCTACTTGTGATCTCTGTCAAATAAATAAATAAAATCTTTAAAAAAAAAAAAAAAGAAAGAAAAAGAAAACACAGATGAAGAAAAGTAGGGGGGAAGAAAAGTAGGCACTAAAGGAACCATGGAAAGACTTTCATTTGAAAGTTAGAGAAAAAGAATCAGTAGAAAAATTGAGAACAGCTGTCTGAAAAACCAAAGAGAATAAAGACACAATGTCACAAATGCTAATGGGAGAAGAGACTAAAATCCTTAACAGAATCAAGAAGAAAGAGAAACCACAGGGTGGAGACATTTTAAAAAGACATTTAGCAAATAGATCACTGCTGCTCTCCTTGAGATCTTTTTTTTTTTTTTAAAGATTTTATTTATTTGACAGACAGAGATCACAAGTAGACAGAGAGGCAGGCAGAGAGAGAGAGAGGGAAGCAGGCTCCCTGCTGAGAAGAGAGCCCGATGTGGGACTCGATCCCAGGACCCCGAGATCATGACCTGAGCCGAAGGCAGCGGCTTAACCCACTGAGCCACCCAGGCGCCCTCTCCTTGAGATCTTATAAAGAACTTGTACCATACCATCTTCCTACTAAGTAACCTCCTCCATGCATCTACTATATGATGTAGCACCATAAAAGGGATGAACAGTGAAAGTTCATATATATAAATATACACACTCTAATACATAATATATACATGGTTAACAATAGTCCTCTGTATGAATGCTCTACTAGATTTAGTCACAAAAATAAATTCTGGAGTAAAACACTGTAAGAAAAAGAATATACATTATTTATGTTTACATATTATATATTAGTTATATATTGAATACATGTATTTATTATTACTATATATAATAATTACATAAAGAGTTTTCTCAGTAGTTTACTTAGTATCAAATGCTTACCTGACACATTTGTTTCTCAATTCTATCAAGTAAGAGCCTTGGAATATTGATAGCAACATTAGTTCCATCTAAAGTATATTGGTTAACAAGATTAAGGACTGCATTAACAACTTCTCTTTCTTTTTCCAAATACATGAGCGTTTCATTCACTGAAGCCCACAAAGACCGAACCTTTAAAAACAAAGACAAAGACTATACATATCTGTACATATATCAAAGAAATGTAAAACACAAATACATGCTCACTCTCTAGAACAAATGAAGTACTCCTACAATGATTTCTGATGAGGAAATTAACTGTCTAAAAGCATTCATACTACTTCCAAAGGGGTTTTAAAACTAAAAAATGTCTCAGGAGAAAAAAAATAATTTCTCAGGAGAATTTAGCCCACCATGATTTTCAAAACAAATCTAAGAAACTTCATACTACCAAGATGCAATTACCATTTTCTATGTTTTGACATGCAATATAATAGAAACTTTCAAGCAGGGGCACCTGGGTGGCTCAGTTGGTTAAGTGACTGCCTTTGGCTCAGGTCATGATCTCAGGGTTCTCAGATCAAGTTTTCCACTCCCTCTGCCACTCCACCTCACTCATGCTCTCTCTCAAATAAATAAAGAAAATCTTTAAAGGGAAAAAAAAAAAAAAAGGAAGAAAGAAAGAAAAAAAAAGAAACTTTTCAGGGAGAAATAATAAAAGATTTTCAGGAAGGGAAAAAAACACACTACATATCGATACTAAGATTCATTCAAGTTCCAAAAGGTAAAAACATGAAAAACCATGTTTTTTTTTTTAAGATTATTTATGTTATTTATTTCACAGAGAGAAAAAGAGAGAAAGAGAGAGGGAGAACACAAGCAGGCAGAGTAGCAGAGGGAGAGGGAGAAACAGGCTCCCCATTGAGCAGGGAGCCTGATGCAGGGTTTGATCCCAGAACCCTGGGCTCGTACCTGAACCAAAGGCAGGTGGCTTTTAATCCACTGAGCCACGAGGTGCCCTGAAACCATGCTTCTTTAAAAGCAAAGAATCTTAAACATGTATTAACCTGTCTATGTTCATTAAATGCATGTGTAAGAGCATTTACAGGTGGCAGCTGCACCTGTGGTGAGCAGAGCATGACAGCTGTCCAATCACTAGGCCATATGCTGGAAACTCAAGGAACACTGTGTGCCAACTATACTTCCATTAAAATAGTAAACAAAATTTTTAAAGAATGTTCATAGCACTCCCATTTGTAAGTCAAAAACTGCAACTAACCCAACCGTCTACTTAGATTAAAAAAAATATGTTGTGCTATATTCATAAAACACTCCATAGTATTGAGAAAGGAACACACAACCTACACACACAATGGCACAGATAAAACAGCATGAGTCGAAGATAAACACAAAAGAATATATTCTACACTCCCCTTTAATATAAAGTTCAAGAAGTGTCGAACTAATCTCTAATGTAAGAAAGAAGGAAAGTGTTTACTCTTGCGGGGGAAATGGTTGTACATGAAAAGGGGCTTGAAGCTCCCAGAGTAACATTCTGTTCCCTAAACTGTATGCTGGTTACATACGTGTATTCACTTTGTGAAATTTTATCAGGCTACATACTTATGACTTCTGCACTTTTTTGTACACATGGGATTCCTTAAAAGAATTTATAAAAGTGGGAGGCGAGCAGGGAAATACAATTGCACCCACGTTTCTGTTTGTGTCTTCCCACCGTACAAAGTTAAGTCCCCAAAGAAGACTCGTTGACTGGCAGTCTAGGCGTCTCACAGGATTGCATTTCCTTGGTGGAAAAAGATCCAGAAACTGGTTCTCAGATTTTTTTTCTTTTTTTTTTTATTCTCAGATTTTTCCTTTTATTTTGTTAATGGATAAAAAATTGACTGGACTCAGGGAAAGTGGTTACAAACTCAGGAGAGAGCAATGTGAAAACTTTCAAACACGTTTCACATCAACCTATTAAATTTACAATCAAAGATACTGTGTTCAGTAATAGAAGTATTCATATTCCACAAAGCTGGAAGATCCAGGACAGAAGTGACTTTGCCTCTTTCTTTCACTGCTAGAGCTCTAACATCTAGAACACTTGGCACATGGCAGGTATCAATAAAAATTCACTGAATGGATGAATAATTATTTCCTGAGGAGGGCACTCACCTTCCCCAGTGACAAACTGTCTGGAAAGCCAAATTAACACCCAAAGCAGCTCAGTGATCATAAAAACAGGACGAAGAGCTTGAGAGAGAGTTCATCTAAACATAAAGGCCTAAGAAAACACTCCAATCGCACATCAAAGCCACCCTCTGAAAACCTCAGACTATTTATGTCTGCCAGATTCCTCCCTACTGCCAAGCCAGCTTCAGTGTGACTTCTTATTCTTCCATACTTAATATCTCCCTTCAGTTAACATTTTATTTACATAAATTAATACTACTGATTAAGTTACAATCAAGCTGAACTTTTAACCATATTTAAAACTGCTTTTGTATATATTTAGTCTCATAAATTATAAGTTAATTTTTCCATTATATTCATGCTTTTTTGATACTTTTATATATCACTTATTAATGAGTTTTTTAAAAAGTAACAGTTTAACAAAAAGAAATGACAAAAATAGAATATAAGGGTCCAATTAAGTAAGTCAACACTGCACATCATGAAAGTAAGAAAGATTAAATTTCTCCCTTAAAAAGTCACCTCACCTTTTGGATTTTCTCTTGTATATTACTTTGGTCATCATAGGGTTCCATTCTAGTTAAAAAATAAATTATCTCATTAGTCATTTTTTTTTTTAAAGATTTTATTTATTTATTTGTCAGAGAGAGAGAGGGGGAGAGAGAGCAAGCACAGGCAGACAGAATGGCAGGCAGAGGCAGAGGGAGAAGCAGGCTCCCTGATGAGCAAGGAGCCCGATGTGGGACTCGATCCCAGGACACCGGGATCACGACCTGAGCCGAAGGCAGCTGCTTAACCAACTGAGCCACCCAGGCGTCCCTCATTAGTCATTTTTTTTTTTATTTCATGGTAATTTACCACCAAAAGAGTGAACTGATCCATAAACCCACTCACTAACAACCACTCCAATTTTTTAAAAAATACAATTCTAGCTCAAAGCAATCAATTTTTTTATAGATTTTATTTATTTGACAGAGAGAGAGCGAGAAAGCACAAGCAGGGGAAGCAGCAGAGGGAGAGGGAGAAGCAGACTACCACTAAGCAGGGAGCCTGACTCAGGGCTTGTTCCCAGGACCCCAGATCATGAGCCAAAGGCAGACCCTTAACCGACTGAGCCACCCAGGTGCCCCAAAAGCAATAAATTTATAAGAAGAAGTGGACTAGGAATCAGAATTATGTTCTAATCCTATGGGACTCAGTTTCCTTACTGGTAAAATGCAGGAGCTGCACTAAGGCAACTTTCAGCTCTCATGTAAAAGTCACTTACTTTTTTATTTGGTTTTGCTGTTCCATACATTCTGCTCTCAAATTTCGTACTTGTTTAACTGACAATCTGTAAGAAAACATACAAATAACAATTATAATTCCACTACAATTAACTGGTATAGGCCACTTTGATATTTTCCCCCATTTCTTATCTTTTCTCAAGGCCTCTAAAGACTACTCTTCCAAATACAGCCAGCGGCCAGCTGAAGGAGTCTAGACTTCCTCCAAGACTTACAGTGTGATCTAACATACAGGTTGCTATTGAGATGGACCAGGACTTCTCGGCTCATATACACTCTGTCTTCAAATAAAATGCTGGAAGTAGGACTACTCTGCTCTCTTATCCTCATCACACATAACTAGGGTCACGACACGCAACATTGTAGTTTCAAGATGATTTCAAAGGATTCTTTAGTTTTCACAATAGGTAACACAACATTTAAAAAGTTGTCTTGGGATGCCTGGGTGGCTCAGTGGGTTAAGCCTCTGCCTTCAGCTCAGGTCATGGTCTCAGGGTCCTGGGATTGAGCCCCACATCGGGCTCTCTGCTCAGCAGGAAGCCTGCTTCCCCCTCTCTCTCTCTGCCTGTCTCTCTGCCTACGTGTGATCTCTCTCGCTCTGTCAAATATATAAATAAAATCTTAAAAATAAATAAATAAATAAAAAGTTGTCTTACTGTAGTTGTTTATAATCATTAAAAATTTGACACAGTTGGGGCACCCGGGTGGCTCAGTGGATTAAAGCCACTGCCTTCGGCTCAGTTTATAATCCCAGGGTCCTGGGATCGAGCCCCACGTGGGGCTCTCTGCTCGGCGGGGAGCCTGCTTCCCTTCCTCTCTCTCTGACTTCCTCTCTGCCTGTTTGTGATCTCTGTGTCAAATAAATAAATAAAATCTTAAAAAAAAAAATTTGACACACTCTATTTCTTGAGACTAGAAACCTTGCCTGTCTTGTTTAATGCTGTACGACAGTGCCTAAACAATATCTGGCACACAAAAGTAACTCAAATAAAAATTTGCTGACAAGAGGAACCTAAATATAACACAAGATGAGATGGTTAAAGAAACTATGGAATACCTACTTGATGGAATATCTACTTAATGGATACTCAACTATTAAGTAGATATTAAAAGCAATATACTTTAGAAAATTCAAAAAATAAAAACAATTTTTCAATTTTTTAATAAAAGCAATATAGTATGGCAATATGGAAAAATTTACAGAATGAAATATGAAGAGAAAAAATACAAAATAGAATGAGCAAAATAATTACAGCATAAAGATGTAAATCCATGTTTAAAAAAATGAAAAACACCTAAGACAGTGAATTTTTAAACTAAGGTAATATTTTCCTTTGCTCTAAAGTTTTATGTACATCTGCACAGTTTTAAAATCTTATTCAGAAGTTATCTGGCTTTAAAATGAAAATAGGACACTAAGGGGTTTTGAGGTAGGCACAGATTACTGCCACTGAAGGTACACTGATGACATTTGCCAAAGAGAAAGGAATTTTCATTTTCTTTTGGGTGGGGTGGGGGGAGAAAGAAAGAGCATGCAAGGGAGGGGCAGAAGGAGAGGGAGAGAGAGAATCTTAAGCAGACTCCACACCCAGTGCAGAGCCATGAGGAGGGCTAGATCTCACAACCCTGAAATCAACCTAAACCAAAACCAATATGCCACCCACACGCCCCTGGAATCTTCATTTTCTAACGATCAGTGTATTACTTACTGTGCATTTTCCTGATACTTTCGGGTAACGCAGTCTTCTCTTTGCAAAATGTGTAAAAATCTATTACGTGCCACATGGCATCTGGCAATGCATTTGTGCATATCTTGTGATTTTACATTAAATGTCTCTGTAAAACGTATAGAAGAATCTATATGGAAGACAAGATCACAGAAAATATCAAATATCAAAAATTGGAGATTCATTAATTTTAAGAGATTAATAACTCAAACAACTAACTCCTTCTTAAAAACTGGTATGCCACATAAACAGATAAAACTAATTTTAACAAAAGCATGGAAATCTATTTTTAAGTAGGCAATTAAAAAACGGTATCTGAAGTTGAGTTGTTTTATAGAATCATAAAAACTTTGAAAGTTTCTCTGCCCCAAATAATTCTTATTACCACAGCTTGATATATCCATGAACAAATACACTGTTATACAAGAGCAACTTCTTACCAGGATCTCTTCACAACAAAGAAAGAATATCAATTAAAAGAGATGAGGTTAGATCACAACACGTCTTTTGCTGTTTATTTTTCTATCTAGTAAGGCCAACAGGACAACCAAACAAAACCAGTCTCCATTTCTCAGGTAATTCTTGGCTGTGTTAATAATGATCAAAGCAGACCCTGAGAACAATCCATCCAAACATTTCAGAATCCACATTTTTAGCTGTAATAAATCCTACTTTAATGGCTAAATGGATAAACGGATAAATGGAGACCACTCCAGTGCACCTAACATTACTAATCCAGGTCCTAGTGCTACCCCCAAAGAAACCACAAATTCTATATATTCAACTGGGGATGAGTTCACTGAATGTGGAAGTCATCTAGACACTAAACATGCTGACTGGAATTGATTTAAATCGGAAATCAGAAATAGGAAAACCCATGCTTAGAAGCCTTATGCACAACAAACTCTTGCTAAATCCAAACATACATACTTCATATGAATTACTTTGGGCTAGTGCTCACTTCAACAGCACATATACTAAAATACTTTGGGCTACATGTAATTGGAATAGACCATCTACGAAAAGAAAAACTGGTAACAATGCTTATGTTGCATTAAATTTTACATATACAAATACTTAAACACCAAAATCATGAGTCTGTTCTTAAAAAATCATGCATAGAAAATAAAATGGAAAAAAAAGGTTTACATATCACATCACAGAGAAAGGATAGTAATAAATAAGAGCTCCTATAAATGGAAAAAAAGCAGTAACTTAAGAGAAAAATGAACAATTATGAATATAGTGTATAAAAAAACACAAGCTGCTCTTAAATATATGAAACAATTTTCAATCTAACTAAATAAGAGAAATACAAATTAAAACCACCCTGAGATTCCACTTTAACCTATCAGACTAAAAAGATAAAAATGTCTGACCACACATGTGTGTGACAGAGGTATAAACTGATCAATCTCTACAGAAAATACACGGATAACTAACGAAATGCACAATTCCTTTGACCAAGCAAATGGTAAATGGTCTTCAGGAATTATACACACACACACCAATAGTTACTTACGTTCATTAGAGGCTTTCAAACTATAGTTCCTATAGAATATTAACTATTACCTTGTGAGGTAATTTAATGTTTTTATCTTACCTTGCTTTATTAAAATCTCTCTATGACTTACAAATTATGAAAAACAAAAATTTAAAACTGAAAACAAAAAAATTCTTATTAAAAATATAACTTACTTTTAGAATGGGTTTTGATATATTTTATTGCAACAAATCGTGCAAAATGATACATCAGATGAATAAACTTAGGACCACCAGGAGAAAGAAAAAGTGATCCAACAACTTGAGGAAAGCTACTTCCACATTCCACCTATGGAAAAAAGAAATAAGATAATTTGAAGACTTTATGAATAATAACCTTATCAAGTAATAACCATAACTCTGGGGAGCCCCAGCTGCACAGCTGGTTAGGTGTCTCTGGGTTTTGACTCAGATCATGATCTCAGGGTCGGGATCAAGCCCCCCTTCTGGCTCCGCACTCAGCGCAGAATCTGCTTAGAATCTCTCTCTCCCTCTTCCTCTGCCCCTCCCAACCCATGCCTCATGGGTGCTCTCTGTCAAATAAATAATAGATCCTTTAAAAATAGTAATAATAATAGCCATAATTCCTACTATGTAAAGATTATTCCATTTGAACCAGAAATTGAATATTTTAATATTTCTAAACTCTTGGCGGACTTGGTCACAAAAAATAATTATAATATAAAGCCACAATTATGGATACTATATGGGGACACAAAGTAATCTATTATCAAAGAAGTTTTCTTTAGGGGCACCTGGGTGGCTCAGTGGGTTGAGCCTCTGCCTTCGGCTCGGGTCATGATCTCGGGGTCCTGGGATCGAGCCCTGCGTCAGGCTCTCTGCTCAGTGGAGAGTCTGTTTCCCCCTCTCTCTGCCTGCCTCTCTGACCACTGGTGATCTCTCTCTCTGTCAAATAAATAAATAAAATCTTTTGGGACACCTGGGTGGCTCAGTTGGTTAAGACGTTGCCTTTGGCCCAGGTCATGATCCCGGGGTCCTGGGATCAAGTCCTGCATCGGGATCCTTGCTCGGCGGAGAGCCTGCTTCTCTCACTGCCTCTGCCTGCCTCTCTGCCTGCTTGTGTGTACTCTCTCTCTCTCTTTGGCAAATAAATGAAATATTTAACAAATAAATAAATAAAATCTTTTAAAAAATAAAAAAATTTTTTAAAAGTTTCTTTAAACAAAAACTATGACATAAACTCGCAAGAACTCAGAAACCTATTTCCAATGCATCTAGGCAGCAAAGCTGGTTTCCTAGAAATACACAAAATCCTAACCAAAACCACCAAAAATATTATTTTAACAAATATTTCCTTGCTACTATACTGTTAGCATAAAAGCATTAAAGACTTCACCTCCAAAAAATTAATGAAGGATTATACTTCAATAAAGCCAAAAATAAAATTTAAGGTCGTTTTTTTGTTTTTTTTTTTAATTTTATTTATTTGACAGACAGAGACCACAAGTTGGCAGAGAGGCAGGTAGATAGAGGCGGAAGCAGGCTACCCGCCAAGCAGAGAGCCCAATGCAGGGCTCGATCTCAGGACCCTAAGACCATGACCTGAGCAGAAGGCAGAGGCTTAACCCACTGAGCCACTCAGGCATCCCTTAATGTAGTTTTTTTTTTTTTTTTAAAGATTTTATTTATTTATTTGTCAGAGAGAGAGAGAGGGAGAGAGAGCAAGCACAGGCAGACAGAATGGCAGGCAGAGGCAGAGGGAGAAGCAGGCTCCCCGATGAGCAAGGAGCCCAATGTGGGACTCGATCTCAGGACGCTGGGATCATGACCCGAGCCGAAGGCAGCTGCTTAACCAACTGAGCCACCCAGGCGTCCCCCTTAATGTAGTTTTTAACTTAAGTTTACATCTTCCAAAAAGAGCATACTTACAGAAATCTTTTTTAACCATTCATAGCAATGTTTACGGAATTCAGTGTCACTCTTTTGGTCAAAAGGAGGCCAACAAAGCCTTAAAAACAGATATAAAAGCATTAGAATTATGAACAAAAAAACTCGGCAAAATTTTTAAACATGAAACTTCTGTCCTATACTAGAAACATAAATGATAAACGAACCAAAGCTAGTATTTATAGATTTCAACTAAAGAAGGACACCAACCTGTGAGAAATTGGGTATTTTCTTTTATAAGTTACTATAAGGTTGAGGCCAGTTTACCATAAATCATCAGTGTATACATATATTAAATGAAGGAATGAAACATCATTAAAATTACTACAAATTAGCTAAAGAAGACAACACTCTCAATGAATTCACTGAACTAAGCAAAAAGATGGTATTAATAAATTAGTATGTTAAGCCTGGGGGGTGGGGGGTGAGAGAGAGAGAAACATAAATGGTTGCACAGGAAGAGCCAGAAGGAATGACGTGAGAGCTTTGGACTTGCAGAGACAACCCATAACACAGTCAGTGTGTACTACTGTTTTGTGTATAAACAATATATAAAATGATTAAAAAGTTCTGCCTCTGTTTTAGTCAAAAACAATAGATTTAAAATTTACCTATTACTTTCCCCTGATAAATTTTTATTCTGAGACATAATTATTTGTTTAGGACCTCATTTTTTAATACTTCTATGTCATACATTCTATAGTCATGTAAAAAATTAAGTATGCATGGAAAAAAAAGTACTAAAAGGCTAAAATGTCAGCAGTGCTATTTTCTGGTTAGTGAGTTTAGGAATGATGTTTACTTCCATCTTTAGATTTTTCTGTATTTCCTGAATTACTTAAAATGAACTGTATTTTGTTTATAATCAGAAAAAGGGGGAAAAATTAGAAAATCTATTTTTATTTGGGCGGAATAAGTCCTATAGCTTAAAGATAGAGATTTCTAAAAAAGATGTTTTAAATATACGTGTGCTCCTGGTCACTCATAGCTTTAACTGGACACAGAATATTAAGAATAAGTTATCAAAAATAACAATGCCTAAACAATTTACTTGTTGCTTTTCTTCTTAAGATTTATTTTTAGAGACAGAAAGCACAAGTGGGGGGAAGGACAGATGGAGAAAGAAAGAATCGTAAAGCAGACACTGTGCTTTTCTATTTAAGAGGATAAGAGCAAAATACAAATATCAAAAAAACTTGAACACTTTTTCTGGTGGCAGAAGCCCAAATCACATGCAAAATATCTTGGAACCAAAGTTTACAGGTATTCATGTTTTTATCTCCTCCTTAAACTAATACTCAACAGTATCTAACATTAGACTAAACTTAAAAGGAATGATTTTCACCTACAGCACTTAACACTTACATATCACTGACAAAAATAATAAGGATTTAGAGACACCCAAAAAGTAAAAATAGACAAGGGGCGCGTGGGTGGCTTAGTGAGTTGAGCCTCTGCCTTCGGCTTGGGTCATGATCTCAGGGTCCTGGGACTGGGCCCCACATCAGGCTCTCTGCTCCTCAGGGAGCCTGCTTCCCCCCCCCCCCTGCCTGCCTGCTTGTGATCTCTCTCTCTCTCTCTCTCTATCTGTGAAATAAATAAATAAAATCTTAAAAAAAAAAATAAAAATAGACAAGACAAGTAATATTGCCTACGGAAAAAGGAGTAAGGCAGGGGGTAATCAGCAAGAAAAAAAAAAGAGAGTAAGGCAAAACTATACAAATAGATTGGTACCAATTAACTGTTTGGCCTAATTGTGACTAAGAAGAATGTTAGGAACTAAGTATATAAAACAAAAGTCTTATCTATAAAATAATCAATGATTTTAAAATATATGATTTTTAAGATAGGTACCAAAGAAAAATCACTCAGATTTACAAAAGTCAAGCACTAAATTTGTAAGATTCAAACCTGACTTTTGTGATATCCATTCATACTAGTAAAAGGACAAAGCTGAAATTCTGGCTTATATCAGAGCATGCTCCCTTTTCAAATTTGAGAATGACTACTTATAAAAAGAAAAGAAAAGAACTTGACTCACTTGAAAACTTCTTTGGTGAGAGACTGGTCCAGTGTTTGAAACAAAAAATAAGAAACGATTTGAAAGGCATCACGGTTCAACTTGTCAAACATGTTCCTAGTAGTTTAAAAAGAAAGAGAAGCAGGGAAAAAAAAAAAAGAAAAATGGTTAATAAAACTAGACAGCATCAAAAGCTGTGTAAGAGTTTAACACAAATTAGTATTTTTCATTCTCTTCAAGAGGGCAAAGCAAATTAAGTTTCTTTAATTCATATATATTTTATAATTAATAAAAACAAGTAGAGTGCCTGAGTGGCTCAGTCATTAAGCGGCTGCCTTCAGCTCAGGTCATGATCCCAGGGTCGTGGGGCAGGCTCCCTGCTCAGTGGGAAGCCTGTTTCTCCCTCACTCCCCCTGATTGTGTCACCTCTCTCCCTGTGTTTCTCTCTGTCAAATAAATAAATAAAATCTTTAAAAAAAAAAAAAAGAAAAACAATAAAAATTTTCTGATTCTGATAATACTGATCAAATAGAACACTGGCAGAACTTCCTTTATTGAGGGGCACCTGGTTGGCTCAGTTGGTTAAGCCTCTGTCTTCAGCTTGGGTCATGATCTCAGGGTGCAGGGATGGAGCCCCACATCAGGTTCTCTACTCAGCAGGGAGCCTGCTTCCCCCCCACCTCTGCCTGCCTCTCTGCCTACTTGTGATCTCTCTGTCAAATAAATAAATAAAATCTTTAAAAAAAAAAAAAAACTTCCTTTATCACAATGAGAATATTCTACAAAAAGGAAAGGAAAACCTAATTAGGTGGAGAAAACTGTGGCCTATTATATCCTGAAAATGATAGAAACCAATATCTACTGAATAACAATAAAAACAGCTACCAATAGTTTATCATTTCCCAGGCAGTATTTTAAGGCTTTTACAGGCAATAACTCATCTAATCTTTACCACAACCATAAAGTTAAATACTGTACTAGCTGCTTTACCATGGATTAATTCTAATGACATCAGATTGTGGTTTTTTAAATTTAGAGAGATTAGATAATTTGCCAAAACTATCCAAAATCACATCGGGAAGCAGAAGAGCAGTGACTTGAAATATGTCATCTGACCCCAGAGTCCAGGGTCTTAACCATTACATTTTAACCCCAGAACCACCCTTATATGAGGTAGTTATACCAAGTCTTTTAAAGTTTTGATTGTCCTGATTTTCCTAATCAAGACAAGCCTTAAAAAAATACAATTACAAGTGATCCGAAGGGGCACGTGCACCCGAATGTTTATAGCAGCAATGTCTACAATAGCCAAACTATGGAAAGAACCTAGATGTCCATCAACAGACGAATGGATAAAGAAGATGTGGTATATATACACAATGGAATACTATGCAGCCATCAAAAGAAATGAAATCTTGCCATTTGCGACGACGTGGATGGAACTAGAGGGTATCAGGCTTAGCGAAATAAGTCAATCGGAGAAAGACAACTATCATATGATCTCCCTGATATGAGGGAGAGGAGATGCAACATGGGGGGTTAAGGGGGTAGGAGAAGAATAAATGAAACAAGATGGGATTGGGAGGGAGACAAACCATAATTGACTCTTAATCTCACAAAACAAACTGAGGGTTAATGGGGGGAGGGGGGTTGGGGGGGTGGGATTATGGACATTGGGGAGGGTATGTGCTATGGTGAGTGCTGTGAAGTGTGTAAACCTGGCGATTCACAGACCTGTACCCCTGGGGATAAAAAGATATTATATGTTTAAAAAAATAAAATTTAAAAAAAAAAAAATACAATTACATTAAAAATAACAACGAACAGGGGCACCTGGGTGGCTCAATGGGTTAAAGTCTCTGCCTTCGGCTCAGGTCATAATCCCAAGGTCCTGGGATCAGGCCCCGCAACGGGCTCTCTATTCACTGGGGAGCCTGCTTCCTCCTCTCTCTCTACCTGCCTCTCTGCCTACTTGTGATCTCTCTCCGTCAAATAAATAAGTAAAATCTTTTAAAAAAATAAAAATAAATAAAAAAATAAAAATAACAACCAAGAAACCAAATCATATAGGAAATGCTACACAGCTATAAGGAATCAAGAGTTAGTGTAAGGGCAGTACGGCAGCCACTGGGCCAGAGTCATCAGCCACTGTTCTAGGATGGATGTCCACTCCTCACACCCTGTGTCTGGTAAGACACAGAAAATTGAGGCTTCAGGAACTGCCAGAGCCAGGAGGAGGAGAGTTTTCTTGAACTTCATCTACAACAACCTGCTGATGAAAAAGGATCCACCTCGGATGTCATGTTCCACTGTATGGCCCACCTGTAGGATTTTAAGCTACACTTTGGCAATTCCCAAGGCAAACCAAGTCAAACTTGGCACAGAGATACAGCCGCCATTTTTCAAAGTCCTTGTAGTAAAGTCTGAGTAGTAGCAGGGGAAATGGAGTGGGAGAAATGGGGTGGCTGGGTGACGGACACTGGGGAGAGTATGTGCTATGGTGAGTGCTGTGAATTGTGTAAGACTGATGATTCACAGACCTGTACCCCTGAAACAAATAATACATTATATGTTAATTTTTTAAAAACTTAAAAATTAAAAAAAAATTTAAGTTCTCTGGATAAGTGAAAAGGGGATAAAAATGCAGCACACATCCCAAGAGAAGTTAAAAGGTTACACTCAGGAAAGAAAAGAAATAACCTGTCAAAGTTATCAGATAAAAGATTATAAGAACCCTACCCCATTATTCTAGTATAAAAAGGTCATCTGCATGGGTGCAAAAGAGAAGAGTTCACCACAGTAGTATCAAAAGAAGTTAAAAGCAAAAGAAGCAAATAACCATAAAGGAAAAGTCTCAGAAGAAACCGAGGACATCATCAAAAAGGGGCAGGGGAAGCTCATTAGAACATAATAGAATATATCTAAGGATATTCTATGTGCTAATATGAAATATTCTTAACACTTAAAACAGAGATCTGAGATCTTTTCATGTCTGGTACATTTTCAATAATTATCTGTAGGGATATCTCAATTGTGTGATTCCTTATTTTCAGACTCAAAAAAAAAAAAAAAACTGGCTTAAGAGTTAGGCAATTACTTGGGGTGCCTGGGTGGCTCAGTGGGTTAAGCCTCGCTGCCTTCCACTTAGATCATGATCTCAGGGTCCTGGGATCAAGCTCCAGGTAGGGCTCTCTGCTCAAGAGGGAGTCTGCTCCCAGCACCGGCCCCCCCAACTGCTCTGCCTACTTGTGACCTCTCTCTGTCAAAGAAATAAAATCTTAAATTAAAAAAAAAAAAAGTTAGGCAAATACAAAAGGAGCTGTGACGCACTGGAATGCAGGACAAATGTAGGGGAGTACACCTTTGAACAGAAAAGGCTTTGTTCTCAAGTTGAAATAAAATGAGTTGAGATTAAAGTTCCCATGCTTATCCATATGTCAAACAACTCTTGTCCTTGAAATGTTTCTATTCCTCAACTGACACAAAGGAAGATCCTTCCTTCTTATTATCTCTCAAGCCTGATATTTTTCACATAGTATCCTGTTGTCTTCCCTTTGACACTTACTAGAATTTTTAGTAAGACATTTGTTGAAGGTTTGTTCATCCGCTAGACTGAAATTCTGCAAGGGGAAAGTTTATATACCTATTCTGTTCACCCTGCGTACCCATATTATATGTAAGTGAATTTAAAAAGCTAAAAAAAAAATGTTAAGTAAATTTGACAGTATATTCAAGTCTGAAGCATTTTAAAGAGGACACCTGTTTCAAAATGATAGCTCCCTTCTAACAACCAACTAAAATGACTCTTAGGGATAATCTATGATGGTGCTGGGGAGGAGGCAGCACAGATTTTAACTAATTTTCAAAGGTAGAAAACAGACTGCAGCTGGAGAGAAAACTCAAATTGCTAAACACTGAAGAGAAGGATGCGGTGGAAATGGCAAGCATCCTCAATGAAGGCCTGGAGAAGCTTCAAGCTTCTCTGCCAGCACAAAGAAAATGAAACTATACTGTGGGCAATTAAATCATGTGAAATAACTGGACTATTTATTAATACATAAGTATAACCTTAGACATGCTCTCTACTGGTTGACAATTTTTAGAATAGGTTTCTAAACAAAGCACTTCTACATGTAAATAATAGTAACCTCTAAACAAATAGTTAACCAGTAAATCTTAATTCTGGCTCTAAGCAAAAAAAAAAAAAAAAAGTATGGCTCTAACCTTTGTCAGTAAAAAACATACATTTGAAAAAAGTCAAGAAGGCAGGGGAGGGCAGGAAAGTGTGAGTGAGCTAATGAATTATAAATAACAGCAACTTTCACTGTGAAATTACGTAGTGGGGAATTAAGAGATCGTTTGAACTGATACATCAAGAAATAGACGTCTAAGCACATTAGTAAAACACTGCCGCTAGAAGAAATGAAACAATCAGAAAAGTCAAAAGACTGAGAACAGTTAACAGCCTACTTATCTCGAATTTCTCTTGGGCTATAGTGGGAAAGATAATACCCCCTAAGTTGGTAAGTTTAGACACAGAAATACATACAAAGTATCTAGATTTATGTTCATAACCATTATATTAGTGACAAAGTAGGGAGCGATTTTTACTTTCCATTCTCATACCCTTTCCTACTATTTTTTTCTGAACTACGCAACGTCTCGGTTTGTTAATTCAAAAAGTAAAAATTACCAACTAGAAAACAACCACCATGAAAGGCTCCTTGGGTCCCAAAGCCGTTGAACATACTGTTCTCACACCCTTCCACGACCAACTCTCCATCCCTCCCTGGACTTCACAGACCACCCAGCATCACCACTAAAGCAGGATGAAGCTATCCCTCCAGTCTTGCCCCAAATGCAGACATGACCCCTTACAAAGCGTTCCCGGCACGGTTCCCTGATTGATAGTTTCTGCCACCAGGCTGGCACCCGCAAAGAGCAAGGGCTTTGTAGCCAGTGCCCGCACAAAGTAACCGCGGGACTACTTGATTCATCACCCAGCGAGGTCCGCGAAAAGGGTGGGTCACACCAGCGCGTCCCAGCTCGGACTCCCCCGCCCCGTCAGCCCCGGCTCCTTACACTCCGAGGTGCGTGTGCGACACGATCTTTCCGCAGGCAATGGTGGCCGGGCCTGGCTCGAAACCGAGCGCCTGCAGATACATCCAGAGATGCTCCTTCTCGAAAGAGGTGACCCACACAGAGCTCATCTTCGCCGTAGGCAGTATCACTGCAAAAGAAGTAAGCACAGGCCCGAGAGATTCAGAGTGGCTTTAGGCTCCCTCCCTACCGGCAGCCTGAGGTAGCGGCGGCCCCTCCATTGCCACCGCCTGTTCCTCTGTCGCCCGGAGCCATGTCGCCTCAAACGGCCATGAAGTCTCAGAGAAACGGAGCCTTCAACGGTACTAGGTACGGCAGCCTAAGCAAAGCCTACAAAAACCAAGACTCCCGCGCTTCCGGAAAAGCGGTAAGCGCTGGCGCTACCTGGCTTCCGGTGGAGGAGGGACTTCCACGGCCGACTATATTTCCCGCCATGCAATGCATCCTCGTTTCCATCTCGTCCCGCGAGGCCCTGCCGAAAAACTACAAAACCCACAGTGCATGGCGTCGCCAGCGAAGTCTTTTGCGTTTGCGTAACTTCAGACGCCATCTAGCAGTTGCTCCGAGGCTTGGTGCTTTTTTATGTTTTGTGGCTATGGTTCCTTTTACTCCTAATGGTTGATTTCGTCAGGTTAAAAAAAAAAATTTTTTTTTAAATGGAGCTTTGGGACTGTGGCTCGGTGTAGAAGAAAAAGCAATGGGTTCCATCCTAACCTATCTCACTAGCTGTGGGTTGTAACGACATTTAAACCCTAAGCCCCAGGTCTATCATTTATAAAATGCCCTCTTGTATGCCCTCAAATGCTGAGTGTTCCTTTCATCTTAATGCTGTAAGAAATCTGGCAGCAGGGACGCCTGGGTGGCTCAGTTGGTTGGGCAGCTGCCTTCGGCTCAGGTCATGATCCCAGCGTCCTGGGATCGCGTCCCGCATCGGGCTCCTTGCTCGTCAGGGAGCCTGCTTTTCCCTCTGCCTCTGCCTGCCATTCTGTCTGCCTGTGCTTGCTCTCTCTCCCTCTCTCTCTCTGACAAATAAATAAATAAAATCTTTAAAAAAAAAAAAAATCTGGCAGCAAAACTGCCTCGGAGGGGGCTTTATGCGATGGATATTGACTAGCATAAATAAAGAATGGAAAATGGGGCGCCTGGGTGGTTCAGTGGGTTAAAGCCTCTGCCTTCGGTTCAGGTCATGATCCCAGGGTCCTCGGATCGAGCCCCACATTGGTCTCTCTGCTCAGCAAGGAGCCTGTTTCCTCCTTTCTCTCACTCTGCCTGCCTCTCTGCCTACTTGTGATCTCTGTCAAAAAAATAAATAAAATCTTTTAAAAAATAAATAAAGAAAGAATGGAAAGGCCAGGAGAGTAAAGAAAATGGCAAATCATGTGCCACTCCACTCAATCTTTATATGCCAGCAATCCAACTTACATTTTAAAAAATAGCTTAATGTGTCATTCTAGGTGAATGACCTTATAACTACCACCAAGGACAAGAAATAAAACTTTTCCAGCCATTCCTGAAACCCCTCCTTTCCCAAGAAAAGAATCACCATTCTCACTTTTATAGTAATCACTTCTTTGCACTGTCTTATAGTTTTGCCAGTTAAATGTGCTTCTCTGGTCACTATAGTTCAGTCTTACCCTTTTGATACTTGTCTTGCCCTCTTCTTTTTTTTTCAGTCTTTAACAGATTTTTTCTTTTTTTTAATACTATCATTTAATATACAGGCTTTCCTCCATCCTCCCTTACTCCTTTTTTTCTTACAACTTTTCTGTTGAGGAACAGGTGCTATTTGACCTGAATAATATGCCTTACTATAGGTTTTACTGATTGTGTCTTTGCTGTAGTTCAACATGTTCTTCTATTTCTGCCCTCTGTATTTCCTTCAAATTGGCCCCTGGATCCAGAGGGATTGATGAGATTCAGATATGATTCCTATGGCAAGTCTAGATGATGGTGGTGCTGTTTCATCAATCTGTACATAGCTTTATTTATGCCATTGACAGCCATTGATGCTGAATGCCTAGATCTATTAATATAGTGGACATTGCAAAATGTCAAAATTCTAATTTATTATTTGCTATGAACTGAATGTTGGTTCCTCCCTCCAATTCCTGTGTTGAAACCCTACTCTTCAATGTGATGGTATTAGAAGGTGGGGTCTTTGGAAGATAATAAAGATTAGATGAGATCATAAGGGTGGAACCCTCCTGAACAGGATTAATGTCTTAAGAGTCACAAGAGAGCTTGCTTAAGGATCTGCTTTTTCCACCATTTAAGGATACAAAGGGAAGTGGATTCTCTGCAACCTAGAGGGGTCTTCACCAAACCCAACCAGGCTGATATCCTGATCGCAAACTTTCAGTCTCCAGAGCTGTGAGAAATACATGTCTGTTGTAAACCACTCAGTCTAAGGTAATTATAGCAGTCCAAGATAATCATTTTTTTCTTGTTAGTAGCAATAATTTTATGATAGAAATTTTCCCACATTTACTGTTTTATCCAGGGGTACGGATATAAGGAAAAACAGGGCGTCTGAGTAGCACAGTCAGCTGGGAGTCCAACTCTTGTTTTCTGCTCATGTCTGATCTCAGGGATGGATGTGGGATGGATCCTGTGTTGGGTTGCACATTCAGTGTGGGGTCTGCTTGGGACTCTCTTGCTCTCACTCTGCCCCTCCCCACCTCTAAAATAAATCAATAAAATCTTAAAAATATAGGTGTATATATAAAGGAAGATAAATCGTTCATTCTTTCCCTTTATTTTTTCTTTTTTAAATTGAAGTTCAACTGAGTAACATACATTGTATTATTTGTTTCAGGGGTGCATGTCTGTGATTCATAAGTCCTGTATAATACCCAGTGCTCATTACAATACATGTCCCCAAAGTCCATCACCCCATTACTCCAACCCCCCACTCCCCTCCCTTCCAGCAACCCTCAGTTTGTTTCCTGAGATTGAGTCTCTTATGGTTTGTCTCCCTCTCTGCTTTCATCTTGTTTCATTTTTTTCTCTCTTCCCTATGATCCTCTGTCTTATTTCTCAAATTCCTCATACCAGAGAGTTTATATAATAATTGTCTTTCTCTGATTGACTTATTTCGCTTAGCATAATACCCCCTTGTTCCATCCACATCCTTGCAAATGGCAAGATTTAATTTTTTTTATGGCTGTTTTTCCCTTTATTTAACAGTTAATTGGTTTGTTATCATCCCCTGAAGGTGACCAATTAAATTTTTATATGTATAATGATACACTTCGATATTTAACAGGGTTCGCACTTGATGGGGTTCAACCTATTGCAATTATTACCCTTACTGAAGTTTAAACTGTCCTATCTTTAGTCAATGGGAAACTCTTCAAGTCAGTTTCCTTGCCATCTGGAGTAGCAAGAAGTTCAAGGATCATCTTGTAAATTTTCTGCCTCAAACCTGGAATCAGCCATTTCTCCAAGAAGCCCTGATTTCTTTTAGTGGGAAAAGACATTTCAAAACTACGATTTGGACACTAGGGATGCTCACAACTACTGGGTTAACCATTGTTTCTACCATTTAATACTTATTTAACGCTACTTTATGCCAGGTACTGCTCTAAGCTTTTCACAAATGTTAATTTGTTTATTCTTCATAACAAACTCTACTATTATGCCCATTTTACAGATGAGGAAGTAGAGGTATAAGGAAATTAAGTAACTTGTTTAAAGTCACATGACTAGTAAGTGGCAGAGCCAATATTAGAACACACAGTCTTTACTCCTTGCGATATATTTCCACCTAGTTGATCTATTTTCAATCAGATGCCCACCACTAGGCTAGGAAAACGAAAAAGGAAAAAAAAAAAAAAAAAAAAAACGCTGACCCACAGACCTATTAAGATACCCATCCTGCCTGGGGTGCCTGGGTGGCTCAGGGGGTTAAAGCCTCTGCCTTAGGCTCAGGTCATGATCTCAGGGTCCTGGGATCCAGCCTAGCATTGGGCTCTCTGCTCAACGGGGAGCCTGCTTCCCCCTCTCTCTCTGCCTGCCTCTCTGCCTACTTGTGATCTCTGTCAAATAAATAAAGTCTTTAGGGAAAAAAAAAAAAGATACCCATCCTGGGAGACCAAAAATAAAGACAAAAGGGTCAATATATAAGTTAAAAAATTTTTTTTAATCTCTCTGATTCAACATTATACACAGCACAATTTTTATTATAGGCATATCAATGATTAAATTTTGAATTACATGAAATGATATATGCTGCAGAACTAGGTTCTCTTACAAAAGTTTACACCAATCAGAGTTTCATTACAATTAAGACCAAGTAGCCAAAAAGAAAGGAAGAAAGAAAGAAAGCGATTGTAACCCACAAGAGGTTAATCCCCAAAGCCTCAGGAGTAAACACGTGAGCAAGCATGAAGTTTAATGTGACCCAAATTATGTATTCAGCCAAAGGGAGTATGTTCTTGTTAGTTATTCAATGTTTTGCCCTGAGAGGACTCAGGACCATTAGCATGTGAGTGATCTGGTGCATCCTCCTCTTCCAAAGCTATAATATCTGGAATTTCATCAGTCTCAGATGTCAAGTCTATGGCAGTGAAATCAAATACCTGAAAAAGAAGAATCTTGGATATTAAAACAAATACTAATGAAACGTGCAGTCATGTCCAGGTGAGCTCCTGGATACACGACTGCTTGTGAATGGCCCTTACTTTCTCCATAGACAGGCTTTCTAACAAGGTGTTCATGGTCTTATTCCCACAATTCACTCATATTATAAAAGCACTAAGGAAACTTCTCTTTGAAAGGAAACTACCTAAGTGGAACTTACTAAATGAAAGTGTTTTTTAAAATACAAAATATCAGGCCTTTCTGGTTATTCTTCTATTAATTTACTATTCTGTTAAAAACAGTAATGCTCCACTTTTGTTATAAGTCCGACTTACAAATACAAACCCTTTGGGAAATGTCTAGGAACTGAGGAAGGAAAAGGTCTTTTAATAGTTGGAAGAGCCATCACAAAGTCCTAGTACTTCTCCGCAGAGGAAAGTCTTTCAGGGGTAAGAAGTTCTAGGAACTCTTCCTTTACATGCAAATTTGATAAGCTAAGTGACATTTCCTAGCCAACAGCAGATTAAAAGCAGAAAATTAGTAAGGTCTGATAAATTAGAAAGGCTGGAAGCTTGACAGCAGAGAAAAAGATTGGCTAATCACCTAACAGAGGCAACATAACTAGCAACACAAAAATCCGTCAA